GTACGGTTCCGTTGCTATGATGTGCTGACGTCCCTATGCCTGAGACTGTGGCGTTTCGATTTTGTCTTTGCAGTCCCAGCCGTTGCGCAGCATCTTCAGTTATTAGATTTATCTGTGATCCTTGGTCGAGAAGGCATCGCAATTGAACAGTCGATCCATCAGCTGCCATCACCTTTAATTGAACGGTCGCTAGTAGGACTTCGTTATAATTTCCAGACACGTGGTTTGCCTTTTGCTGTGACGTATGTGGCTTGTTGCTAGGTATAACGTTATTTGAGACCGCGATTTCAACTTTGCGGTAAATATCGTGCAATGTTGTGTGGTGTGCTTCTTTGCACACGCGGCATCTTTTGTTGGAGTTGCATTTATTGTCGTTGTGTAAGTACAGGCAATTGCGACAAATATGTAGTTGCGAAATTGACCTCATTTTGTCTTCCGGTGACATGTCTTGAAACGACTTGCAGTAGAGTAAAATATGATTGTTTTTACACAGTGGGCAATTTTTGTCTGTGCTTGTATGATATGCTCGAAGAAAACTACGCCTGTTGGTGTTGTTAAAGTCCTTCTTAAATTGAGCTGTTGCCTCCTTGTTGGTCGAATTGTTTGACTTGTTAGGTGTCTGTCTCTTCTTTTGAACAGGTTCAAGCGCAGTAAACTTGTTTTCCAAGAAGTTTATCAGCTCATCCAAGGAAGGTAGCTCTCTCGGAGCCTTTCTGATCTCCATGTAGGCTGCATACGTGTCGGAGTCCAATTTGCCAGTGAGAATGTGCACCAGGATCGGATCCCAAGTCGTTGTGTCGATGCCCAGATTGTGAATAGCATGTATGGTCTCGACACTTGTGTCATGTAGCTTCTTCAGCTCGTATGCATTCTGTGTTTGCAACGCCGGTTGTCCCATAAGGGTTTGTATATGTTTTGTAAACAAAAGTTGTCGGTTGTTGTACCTATGGGTGAGTATCTCCCAACAGGTGTCGTAATTATCAGCTGATACTGTAAGATGCTGTACGATGCGCTCCGCCTCGCCTTTAAGTTTGCCCTTGAGGTGCTGCATCTTTTGCGTTTTTGTCAACATGACATTGTTGTGGATGGCTTCACAGTAGAGGTCCATGAATGTAGGCCACTGGGTATAATTACCAGAAAAAGAAGGAATCTCAATTGTAGGCACTTGCTGATGCTGTTGAGATACTGAGTTAAGCTTACGATTCAAATCCCTTTTTGTAGTTTCGTACAAGGTTTCGTATGCAGAAAACTCTTCTTCGTAGCCTATATCACCGCCAGAAGTCAGGTTATCGATTTGCCAGTGGAGCTCGTCGATCAGTTTCCAGCGAGACTGCAGCGAATTCAGTTTGTCACAAATTTCCCACTTTTCTGTCAACTCTTTGGTGTTGATGTTTTTAATCACCCTAGAGAGCGCCCGGAAATTAGTGCGTTGTTGGCTAATGAACTCATCAGACCTTGATGGTACTCCAGTTTCCGCAGTTTTCACCTCGTAGTTCGTCAGCATGTCACGAATCGCTTCGTACCGCTTCTTTGTGGTGGTGTAGGTATCATTGATGAAATAGTCGTCATCCAAGTCACTGTCTGTTTTTTTTAGAACACCATGATTCATGTTGAACACCTCCCATTGAGCATTCAAAGCATCCAACCTTTTCTGTATGTATGTTCCTGACTTACGTGAATCAGAATCCTTTTTGAAGTTAGCCTCAATTTTAAGGATAGATTCAATGATTGTTCTCTGTTGTTGAAGTAGGTTCTCCATGGTTTAAGAACGATGTTGTAAATAGTTGGTTTCAGATACGTGTGACTGCGACTCTTACCGTAGTATGCACCTCAATCAAGCTGGTGAGACCCGCTTGTGGGAGGCCAGCAACCAAAGTGACACTACAGATAGAATCACGAATTACTCTTTTTTTTTTTTTTTTTCAAATACACTTTACTGTTGAACTATTGTAGACGTAATATGCAAGTCTTAGTTCACGTCGAAAACTCGAAGGACCAAAATGTAGGGGGGTATTTTGTGAATTGTGACCCTCTACATATAATTGATATGTAGTATATTAATGTAGGTTGTATCTTCTACGTTACGGGATGTGGTAATTAAAACTGTGTCCGTTTCCGTAGAGAGCGTTTATTGTACTGAAAATACTTATGAATAAAAAATGTAATTATAGTGAACGTGTCGCGCGCGCAGGCGCGATATCAGCATTATTTTCTAAACTGTTGAAATATCATGTACTTGCTCGTACATCGAACTTCGGACAGGATGCATTTGTTTTATGAAAACATACGTACATCGTCTTTTTTGAGTTTATTGTTAGTAAATTATTCCGTAGCCACAGAGAAATTTGCAACATACCTCGCTCAGCGATAGGACAAACAGATTTCCATGAGGGTCCGTGAAAAACGACCGCGGTGTCATCGGCATAGCATATAATGTCAGCATTTTCAAGTGTTATATCATGGATGTCATTAATATATAAGATAAATAATGTAGGTCCCAAAATGCTACCCTGTGGAACTCCAAAACTGACATTTTGTAAGCTACTGAGAGACTTACCAATTTTTACGCACTGTTTGCGATTTGTTAAGTAGCTTTTAAACCACTCCAAGGCCACCCCTCGAATATCTGTGTTCTCTAGTTTTTTCAAGAGAATAGAAATAGATATGGTATCGAAAGCCTTGGATAGGTCCAGAAATATCCCAATACAGGATTTTTTTCTATCAAGATGCGCAGACAGAGTGGTCGTTAGTAGATTTACCGCGTCTTCAGTGTTTTTACCCTTACGAAAACCAAATTGTTTTGGAGAGATACAGTTGCATTTCTCCAGATAATTCACAAGGCGTTTATTTACTAGTTTTTCAAGTAATTTTGAAAATACAACTAAAAGCGAGATGGGTCTATAGTTGTTAACAGAATTTTTAGGTCCTTTTTTATAAATTGGGCAAATCGATGCGGTTTTCCAACTATCAGGAAAGATACCGCTTGAAAGACTGAGGTTAAAAATGTATGCAAGCGGAGTCATAATTTCGTGTTTGATAAATTTTACAAGCGCGTTGCTAACTCCGTCTATACCCGGTGCCTTATTATCTTGCAACTGACATATAAGTTTTCCAATTTCTTCATGATCGGTGGGATACATGAAAAACGAATTCATTTGTGGATTTGGAGTTCGAACGGACCTTGCCAGAGATATTGATAGTTTATTTGTATGAAATAATACACAGATAATTTCAAAAATCAGGTAAAGTATTTATTCAAGTTATTTATAATTAAAGTAGAAACAATCACAAATATGTATAGTTAAGAAAAATAAACAACAATATAGACGTAAAAATTTCTTGACAAACTTAAAAATGTTGTTAGCTTATAACAAAATAAAATTAAACTTAAATGGCAGGGTAAAATGAAGAAAATTATGTAACGAATGTAATAATTAATATTTAGTATGCAATGCGACCATTGCACACTAATTATTTCGTTTATGAGGACAGGATCAGGATCTGAACAATTATGTTCTAAGGAGTCATAAAAAGGGTGATAATCTTTAGGAATCAGTGGTTTTAATTCTTGTAAATGTATAAATTTTGTAGTGTCAACCGGGAGAAATGATTGATAATGAGCAGTATCAGTTCGTGTGTAGTTTTGTTTGAGCGTCGCGGTAATTCTTTGAAGTCGTCGTTAAAGTCCAACTTATACCGTATGATCCCATCTGGATTATGTTGCAGGCTTACAATATCAACTTCAAGTGGATCGCCTTTTTTGTTTCCTGGTCGAATACTGGAGTATCTACCACCTTCATACCTGCTGAAATCACTGTAGCTTAGACAAACTACTTTATACGGTTCAGGCTTGCTTCTTGCGCTCTTTATTATATTTATATAATCTCCAGGAATAAAAATATCTCGATGAGGTGGCAACTTTCTTTCGATGCTGCTATGTATCGAGTCGACCTCCATCTAGGTGTGCCTAATCGAGATATTTTTGTTCGATGATTATGTTATTTTCGACTAATAATTCAATTAGAACATTACACAAATTTAAGGATCGGTTTTGGTAACCATACCCATCACTCCACAGGATAATTTCTTTGGTATTTGGTGCCTTTTCTAGTTCTGCCTTTAGGTGTTTCATCTAATAGACGTAAAGACATCACTGTCTAAGCCACCGCTTCCCTCGTGGCATATCAAGCAAATCACTTCTTTTGTTTTTAAATTATAGTGTGTGTAATTGTGAACTTTAACATTTGCTTTATAGTAAACAGCTAATGCCTGTATTCTTTGGTATAGAAGTACCGCTTCGACATCTATAGTGTATACTAATACATCATCTTCAGTATTGTTTTTGTCATTATCCTTGTTTTGTCTTGCTGTTTCTTTTTTCTTCAAGTGACTCCTGTACTCATCTTCATTAATATTACCATTCTTGTAGGCTAAGCACTTATTGAACTGGTCTTTCCTGGACTTAAAAATAGACAAATTAAGCTTATGATACTTCCTCTCGAACGTCGCAACACAATATCGTATCTTGTTGTATTTGAACAAAACTTTTTATATTCAGCATACAGATCACCATGAACACTATTCCCGATTGGTTCTAAATATAATTTTGAGGAAGATGATCTGCAATAATGGGACTCTACTTTCGGCAGACTGTCGAAAAATTCTCGAATTGAATCGGATGCATTGTTTTGAGTCCTTGCATTACAATCATTTCCATTTTGAGAGATAATAAAACTTTCTGCCACATCTTTACTAGGAACAACCCAATCCCTCAGTTGTTTTCGGCCAATGCACAAAGTTTTCATAAACATATGCTTACAAACATGAACTCTCTTAGCATTATCTTTCAAAGATAGGAAATATTTAAATCCTTTGTTTTTCCTAGAATCTACGCTTGATGAAAGTTGATGCTGTGGTGCATATACACTTACTACATTTCGGACATATACTTTACGAGCTTCCCAAGAACTCAGTGCCCAATAAGAATCAAAAATCAGTTTTCACTCTTCTTCGGTTAACATTTCACATTCAAACCTTTGTCTAGGTCCCCCATGTTTCACTTCAGTATGCCCACCACATCTTGCCTGTAAGCATTTATCTGGTCTTAATAGTATTTGTCCGTATTTTCCATTCCTATCCTTCTCAAAACCTTTATATTGTTTACCTTGTAACCTAGCCTTAGAGTTTTTTAATCTCTTCCATTTTGTCTGATCTGCTTGACCCTTACGATTGCGTTTCATTTTGTGGGTAACCTTACGAGTAAGCACAGCTGTCTCATCATCAAGGACCTCTGCGTTGGAGCTCCTACTTTCTTCTAATGCATTAGATTGAAAGCCAACGTTACTTTCTTCTGGCAGGTAGTCTGAGTCAGAAGACAACCCTTCGTCGAACAAGACGTCTTCACTAGACGTGTTACACTGCTGCATAGTTTTATCTTCATACAACTGGCCAGTAGCTTCATTCAGTCGCTGCTGGCTAGGATGTTGAGAGGAACTTGTAGCTAACTGTACTAACCACCTTCCTCTTGTGTTATTCATCTGCAACAATCAACCACCAAGCCATGCATACAAAACCAAAGCAAAATTCAAAAAGTTGTATGTCGCGTGTGTAACTACGTATTGCAACATAGGTCTTATTGTTTAATTGCTATTATTTACAAATAGGGTAAAAATAAACATTTTTTATGAAGAAAAGTTATCTGTTAACAGATTCGCATCACTATATTATGTCTTAAGCACTTCACGGTAAAAAAATGCAGTCAAAAAAGCGGACTCACGACGCTTTTTGTTAAAAGTTAGGTTAAGATTTCTCATAAGTGTAATTAAAAGCAGGATATTAACGAAAGCCACTTAAAACCAGCACACAATGATACGTAATTTATGATAACTGTCAACTTACCTCAGAAACAAAGCACAATACTATAGCTTAATTAATAATTTTCACTTGTTTTTTCTCAGAGCAAAAATCCGTTGCCACTCAACTTTGACATAGAACAATTTGCCCTTAGATTACTGACTATATACTAGAATTTGCCTGTATACGATTTACGTAGACAGAGAAACCTATAGACTAATGATCGGCGTGGCCTCAAATGAGAAAGGACGATAACAAATTTTTAGGTTGTACAATAATCCTTACGACTTTTAAACACATTTAGATAAAAATTTTAATTGTTCAAAGAACTGAACTGAACAAGATTCACCAATCTTAAGGTCACAAAACACTTTTTTCTCACTTAAACCAACTTCTAAACTCCTTAAATCGCTACGCTGTTAAAGTTGTTTAGCAAACTGACAAAAAAACCGGCACGGAGAAAGGGACAAACAATCACACCGCTCTATCTCGTTTCTATGCGAGACGTATGCATAAATCTATCTTTTTCGTGTGCGAATGCGAAAGAACGCGTCAATTTGTCTATAGGTTTCTCTGTCTACGACGATTTACTGCCGAGTCGATCACGTGACATATTGCAAGTTCCAAATGCCACTTTCCCATTGGTAGATGACATTGAACCTTTATCGGTCGCGTTCAAAATTAAAATTAAAGCATACCTTTGAAATAAAAAAAATTAAATTTTCGACATTGAACAAATTGCAATATGAAAGACGATATGTATGACTGAAAATAACAAAGATATTATTAGTTCGTTTGTTGCAAATGTTTGAGTTTTAATATATTGTTTGATTAAATTAATGTTTTCAATTTTGTTATATAAAAAATTGTGTATATTTTTATTTAATAAAGATAATCAAACCTTATAACGTTAGTACTTATCCCTAGTTTTTTAAAAGAAATAATGATGATGATGACCAATAATTCTATTTTGCATTATTTGATTATACAGATTTTATACAGATTTTTTTAAGTTAAAATGGCATACAGATTTAATACAGATTTTAGCAGTTTCTAATACAGATAAAACGTTCAAGGCATCTGGCAACACTGACCAGTGATCACATATAAACTCTTTGGCGCAGTTCTTTTTTTTAAATCAAATGGCAACACTACCCAAGTGCCATAACTTCCAACTTCCAACTGGTAACCTGGAAAACATAGGTTATGTGTGGCATAATTTACATTTAATATTTAAAATACACAAATTTAGCCAAAAATGAAAATCTATACTAATGACAACAATACCGCAACTTTAAAACTATTGATAGCGGCTAATTTGGCAAACAAAAAAATTCAATTATGCAGAGCTACTTTCGAAGGTATTTTTCAAAACTGTAAATTTTTCGAATAAATAATTAAATATCACTGGTAGGTATCTCATTTCATCCTTGTAATTGCTTTGAATTTAATTATATACTAATCTGCATGCTTTACAGTCACGGGATTTCCATAATTTATTTAATTATTTGGTACATTGCATCAGATCTCCAATTATGCATGTTTTGTTGCTGTTGGCTCCGTTGGAAGAACTATAAATGCCTTTAAATACTATGAGCACATTAGTTAAAGTCTTGTTAATTTACTGTTTATATAAAATCATAAAATAATCTGTTTTTTAGCTCATATGATGGTCCGATCTTGTACATTAGAGAAAGAAGTAAAAATAATTTATTTAGTAACATGTAACACTATTTTAATTTCAACTACCTTTCAATATTTTTCTTAAAAAGTGTGTAATGTTATTTAAATATCTACTTCTTCACTCTTCTAATAATTAATTTACATGACACCAGGCACCATTATTATATGAAAAATATAACAAATTATGGTTAATTTTTTTTAATGGCAAGTTAAAAAATGAATTTTTATTATATATTATGTATTAATAATTAGATTCCTTGCATATCCTACATCATGCACTAGTTTGCATTTAGAAGCAAAATATTAGTTTGGCTGTCATAACTTTCTTATCATGTTTGTCATAAAGAGAAAGAAAATTAAATTTAAAATGTATTCATACCATAAAAACATAAGATTAGTTATTGAAACATATTTGAAAAGTGAAGTCAATATATTAGCAATTATTAGGTATTTCCTATTTATATTTACTAGCATCTTGAGTAATTTGTCGAGTATTTTACATAACATTCCAAATATCGACACCAAGAGCATACCTAAAAAACTAACTTCACTTTAGAAACCATCAATATTTCTTAATAAAGGTCATTTATACCTTTAGTTCAATTGTTCAATATTCAAATGCTAGGTTATCATGACTTGTTGTACTATCTGAAAAGTGATTTTTTACATGGCAGGACTTTCAAATAATTGGACTATATAATAACCAAACTTAATAACAAATTTAGAAGTTTTAAAAACACCGCCACAAACCCTGCCAATATTCCTATCTCTGTTTAGAGTTAGTACCATTCAAAGACACATTGAAGATTTTTTTATTTTTGTATAAAATAAATAAGTATGAATATTTAAAATGCCCGGAAAAAAGTTTTTGGATGATGTTGGGAAGTTCTGTACAAGAGTTTATTGTCTCAAGTATCTAATACTACAAATCTATTACATTTAATTGCATTATGATCAAGTCTTCATCAATATCACCATTTTTTATATAATGATTAATTGACAATGTGATGATTAACTATGTCCATAAGTTAACTTCCATTTCAATTACAAAGCAATAAATTTTTATCACAGACCATTGGCTGGGATCATGTCAAAGCATTTATACATAATAGATTTAAAAAAAAACTTGACATAACCATTTTTATTTTCTTACATCAAAGAAATAAATGCATTTCATTTCCTATTGGAAATCAGTATTTGATACAAATCGCACGGGTTTTTAGTTAATTGTGTGTTACCAACTTGTATATTATGCTGCTCAAAAATTATTATTGTAGTATATAATCTGGTGTCACTATTGTAATTATTAAGTACTTATATTTATTTCATTCATAATGTGAATAAATTAAATATTAGTATTGGCATGTAACTAACAACTGGGGGTTGGCACTGAGCGCTCGTCTGGCATTGCAGACGGCATTTTCACAGGGCCACAAGTACTGCCATTGCTGGAAGTGGATGAGCAGCTGACATTCTTCTCTAGTAATGCGGCTGCACAATATCTGTTTCCAGTATTGGACTTGTCAGAAAATGGACAGTGGTAAGCATTGATAGTACATCTTACATTACGTAATAATTTTCATTCATTCTTTTATCTGTCATCTCTGTTCTATATATGTATCTGTTATATCTGTCAAAGTTACTGCTGAACATAAGCATAGGGGAATATTTGTCATAGTAACTAGTGAAGTACCATGGCTCTTTTTTCTGTTCATTTCCTTTCTATATAATCTTTTAATTTTTTTGTTTGTGTGTAAATTGATTTCAATTTTTATGATTTAACTTGGGTTTTATTTGAATGAATGAAGTTAACTCCATCCTGTGTTAAAATTTATAACAGTTATTTTAACTTTTAATTTTGCCCAACAGTCTTATTTTTTATATGGTAGTATTTATTTTCCCTCTAAGAGTCAGTGTGGGTAGTTCAATGTAATTAGTGGTAGTGGATAGTTCGGTGGGAAATTTAAACATTTTTCTCACAAAAAATAATTAATTGTATTGATAATTATGTGTACATAGATGTAATACCAGTCTAAACTTTATTCAAACGCAAATTTTGTGGTACGAAACTGGTCTGATGAAGTGCAAGAATAATCAATAAGTACATTTATTGTTAATTAATACTACTTATATATAATATATAGTATATATATATATAAAAAAATACTACTGGTATAAAAAAAACTGCTGACTTTTAGCCCAATTATAAAAACATTGAAATTTGCAATGCTGAGACACATCAGGACAGATGTGGTTAGAATACCATTATTTAATTATAGAATCTGGTTAAAATATTCATGGTACTATTAATTGTATTAATATATATTAATTAATTGACTACTTCATTATGTATTCTGACTTACAGTCAGCAAATGCAAGAATGGGAAGCAACGCGACTTCAGCCTGCAGTAGCAGCAGTAATTGGCGGCAGGTCTGTTGCTTCTGACTTGCGACAAGTGCTGCAATCATTACTGCAAATACTTGATTCATTACTCCAGAAACACAAGTATATTCTTGGGGTAAGTTAGAAGTTATCACTTGGATAATTTATTTTAAACATGTAATATGTAACTAGCATATAATATAGAATACCAGTTTCCTAGAGCGGTGTTTCGAAAGGAAGTTCGTCTATGTGTTTCATATGAATGTGCCGAGAATCAAAACTATTAATTACTGCCCTCAAGATTGATAAGCGAGCACACGGCCCATGTCATAGTAAAGGGACACTGTGATCAATTTTGCATCTAGCCGCGAATAAGATTCAAAATGCAGATGAGTTGTGACCTCTGAGAATTAAGATAGATCGCCCCACATCCTGTGATTTTATTGGCTCTCTATACCCTACAGATTAGAACACAGCAGTTCAGGCTCGGGGGCAGAAATAAGTAAGAGATAGACCCAGATGAACTCCTAGACGTAAAAAGAGTCCTAACATCTAGAAAGCTTACATTAATTGGCAATAATATTGGTGTTACGTCAATTTATTTATTGTTGCAGGAGA